AAAGTGGGACATTCTGGGATCAAATCAGAAACTGGGATGGCTTCTCTAAATCAGGGACGTCCCTGGAAAATAGGGACACATGGAAGGTCTGGGGTGGGGGTGATACCACTATCTTCACAACAGATGCTCAACCAGTGTATGGACTGGGCATTACAAATAAGAAAGAAATACTATTTATTGCCAGAAATCCTGATATATAGAAACATCCTAATTCTTTCTACAGGAAGACGGAGAGGAGCAACATAATTAAACAGGGAAGGATGAATACATGTGTCCGTAATGCACTGATGAGGAGAAAAGGTATTAAGCAACAGCTGTTCCACTGGAATGGAAAGGATATGTCAAGTATCATAACCCGACTCCTCCAAAAGGCTAATTCAGCAGAACCAGCAGCTGCCACAATGAGTGGAGTTTAAAAATCCATTCACTCACAGCAAGTTCGCATGTCCCATTTCCAACTGGAGTTTCTGTTAGTTTCACAAAACAGCTCACAGTCTTGTAGTTACAATCACATTAAGTGTCCAGTTTTAAGCAGAAAAGCAATCTAGTATTATTTAACAATCCAGTTTAATCCAATCATCCTGGAAATTTCTGATAAAAGAGATCCATAAAAATCTTATGTATATCATGATAAGACGTGCAGTACGTAAGATGTGAGTTATAGATACTACCTCACCGGACTGATTCACAGAGACAATTATGTTGACAATAAAGGATTTTCTGGAACCTCCCTTTCAGAACTGCTGATGGAAGAAAATGTAAATACACCAGATGAAAGGCTTTTGAGAATACATCATTGGGTTCTCTGTGACAGGATAACAAAATCATAGAACTGTAGAGTTGGAAGGGACCCTAGTTCAACAACCTACAATGCAGGAATCCTGCCCACAGCTGTCCTTAGGTGGGCTCAAACCACCGCTTGGTTAGTTGGCATCCGTCTGTCTCAGGAGACAATGGAAGAGTGTGCCTTCAGAGGTCAAGTCAAGCCATTGGAGAGTTATAGTGCCTGCTGTGGCTGTAAAGACTTGTTATGGCAGAAACATTTTCCTCAGCTGGGGAAGATGAAGGCATCTGGTTCTGCTGCTGTAGATGCACCATAGTTTCTTCTTTCTGTGCTCCTCCCAGTGGTCATTCCTTCTCTGGTCACTGCTGTGGATACACAACCTGACTGTTTCCAGGCACTGCGGTCGCCTGCAAGGTATTCCTCCATGACGGGGTTAATGTTGCCAATCTTCATGTCCTGTTTGCAGACACCTTTGTAACACAGAGTTAGTGCCTGAAGCCAGCTCCCCATAGCCTTGGGGAGCCTGCCATCCCAATGTTCCCCAATTCTGGCATCAAAATCTCCCAGCAGGAATAGGCAGGAACAAGCTATTAGGGACCCTCCTAATAGCTTGGTCTAATCTTCTGGTTAACAGCCATATGTTTTTGAACAGAGAGCATGTAAAGGCAGCTTGCTGGTTTATAGGGCTGAAGTGCTCTGTTGATTAGCATGTTATCTGAGGTTAAGCCCAGAGCCATTTAACATCCATATGAAGCTGTGGGAGTGGTTATCTGGAGATTTGGACCAAGGTGTCAACAGTATGCTGATGATATCCAATTCTTTCTCTGTAGTGTCTGAATTGGGAATGGCTGAGAAGGGTCTAGACCAGTGTCTGGATGCAGTGGTGAACTGAATGAGGACTAATAAATTGAGTCTGACTCCTGGCAAGGCAGAGGCTCTGTGGCTACCTTTGAGGTTGGTCAAGAAGTTGCAGGAGTGCAAACTACTCGATTGCTTATGGGGACAAACTACTGCCAGCATATAGCACCTTGTTTGTAGAATTTACACTGGCTGCCAATCTGTTACTGAACAAAGTTCACAGGATGGTATTCAACAACTGTGTCCCACCAACACTAGAATTTCCACTTGTTCACATGTAAAAGATGATCTATACATACATACATCACAATGGGGCTTACATAGAAATTCATAGTGGATTGTGCCCTTAGAAATTTGTTTGTGGCACAAATCTGTATAAATGCCCTGTTTGGTACTTAACTGGCATAACAGAACCAACAAATTAGAAAAAGAGAAAGTCTCTTGGTATGAATGGGGGAAACTGAAGTTGCTCCTTATAAACAAATTCAAATATGTGTGGGTGTTGACTGCTTTGGTCCACTTTGAAGGCAGGCGGGCAGAGTGGATTAACAGCTAAATAATGCTCAAATTTGGGTAGACCACAGTGACTCCATATGCTCTTTGATGAGATGGATTATTTGGACCGAATGCAATCAGACATGGTTTCAGTATTAGTATATAAACTGCTCAATTTCTCTATTGCTTGAAGCATTTTGCTGCCTTGGGCAAAACAACATATGCTACCCTGCCTCCCAAATATGCACACCAATACAGCAAATACCTCTGAGTCTCCCTGTGAGTAAAAGACAATAAGTTAAATAACTAATGTTTGCCGCCTTTCAGTGACATTCCATATCCACTGCCTGAGGCCTAACAGAAGAGACCAGCCCTAGTCTTCGGTTACACAGGGTTCAACATCACCCCCAGCATAAAATACAAAACATTAGATATTGAAAAAAGGACTTGATGTTAGTAGCAGCCCAGCTTGCGTGCAGACTTTTCCATTTCCCCCAATTCCACAGAGTTGCACTCTTTGAGAAGATATGGGCACCTCTCCCCACATGGCTATGCTTCTAGGGAGGAAGTAACCCCACATCTATTTTCTCAACCACATAAAACTGTGATGCTGCAGCTGGCTAGATCATTAAGAAAAAAGAATTGACGCTGCTACTTCACAAGCTTTCTTTTCTGCTCCAGGGAATCCTGAAGTTACAATTCCCAGGGTTCCCTGGGAAGAGGGATTGACTGTTAAACCATTCTGGGAACTGTAACTCTGTGAGGGGAATAGGGGCCTGTGAACAACTCTCAGGACACTTAACAAGCTGTAGTTCCCACAATTATTTGGGGGAAGCCATGACTGTTAAAGTGGTACAACTATACAGTGCAGATGAGTTTCTACATACTCACACACTCCTCTCTCTTGTCCAAGGCAAGCAAGAGTGTTCAAGAATACATTATGTCCTGGCAAAAAGACTCAAGGGGTTTTTGTGTGCAGCATGTGGTCTAGGGAGAATCCCAAGGGCACTACAGAAAGACCTGTTTAAGTTTGCGGTGCACATATGCTTTTCAGCCTGCATGTAGTAGTATCCCGTCACTAGTCACCAAAGCTTCATAGACTGGCAAAGGTCTCATTCCCTTTAACAGCTTACTTCTACCAAAGCATTTAGGTCTGGAACCTAATCTCATTTTCCAGTGACACAGATATTTCTGGAAGCTGCATAGAGGCTACATTTGCAATAGCATGATTGCAGGAGCTAAACAATCCATCCAAGAATGTTGAATTTCTGATAACTACTGATTTGGGGGCGACAACCCTTTCCTGAAGATCTGGCAGATGAAGGGCTGTAGCATATGGCAGAAGCCCTACTACCCCGGGTGGAACTCCAGATTAAAGCAGCGGATCATCTTGGATGCAGTGGCAGCTAGTGTTGGCTGAATCCTTCTCCAGCTGAGCTGCTGCACTAGCAAAAGATGTGTTGGCTGAAATAGGGTAGAGACTTTGGCAGCATGAGGGAGTAGCACCCTGCTGTGTTCTTTTTCCCATTAATTCACACAGCCATCAACAGCACAACCTTACACCAGTTCACTTTCCCTCCCTGGACTTCACTACTGACTTTCCCTCCCATTGCTCCTAGCATCTGAATGCTATCCGCTGCTGTGGTTGAGTGGTTAGGCATCTGCTCTGTAGTGCTTGAGTCCTGGGGAGTCCTACTTTTTTACCCTCAACTTTTTCCCATACAGATTAGATAGGTAGAAATTGATAGCTTGCACACAAGAAAGACTATAAGCCTTTACTTCAGCAGCCTGCGTTTAGGAACCCTCCCCTCTTTGCTGGGCATGATCAGATCATTCCATTGAAACTGTTCTTTCATGTATGATAGGTCAATACAGCATTTCTTAAAGGCAGGGAAGCAGCTGACTTTCCAGAAGTTCATGAAATTTGTTCCAAACCAGAGAAGAATTTATGTGACTATTTTAATGGGACAAAGCCCCACAATCAATTTGCATACATATTCATTAATCTACAAGGGACAAATAACAATTGAGAGATACATGCACTTGCCTTGTTTAAACAAACCTCAGATCTGAAAAAGCATCGTATCTAGAGAGTTGTATGTATGTAATCTTTATTAATTAATTTAATTGTTGAATAAATGTGCATATGGAGTAGAACAATAGTTCCAAAGCAAAATATATACTTTTGTTTTTACATGATGTGTGCACACATTAGGCATTTTCTCATGTGAGAAAGGGGTGAAACAGTCATTTTAAGATAGTGCTTGTCATTAAAAAATATTTTTCAACAAAGATGGTGCTTGTCATTTGCACTTTTTACAAGTACTTGCCCAACTAATCAGGAACACCATTTTAATCAACAGAAAATTTGTAAATAGGTTGATCTGATTAACCATTTAAATGTTGCATCCATACTTGAAACCATATTGAATCTAGGCTTCATTTTATTGAGCGCCTCATTTTCAATCCATGAGTTACATTTTAAAATGTGCCACTGTAACCATTGCATTCAAAGCTTACCATAAAAATAAAAAGGATGCTAACAAAAACATTGGCTGCACAAACCAGCCCACAATACTATATGAACCTCACAAGTTATATGCTGCCTAATACTATCCTGAAGTCCAATTCCATGCATGCTTCCTTGGAAATAAGCCTTGCTACTGTATATTAAAACGGGTAACTACACAGTCCAAGGATGAAGACAGGCATTCCAATTCTGGTGGAAATAGTTTGAATGCATGCTTTCTGCTCTGAGAATAAACTTATTTAAATGCAGCGAAGCAGTCAAACGAGTTTCACCACATATTAAACCGTTGGCCTTTCTTCACCTTTAGACAGTTAGAATATATTCCTTTCCTACCTTTGACACTTGAAGGGGTCTTTTCTGTTCAGAGCCCCCCTGCAAACGGAAGCCCCAGGGTGCCCCTCCAGAGAGAGTGACAACGACCTCTTCTTCTTCAGCTCCCATGATTTCAGCACAGTCTTTTTCCTTTGGTGACAAATGTCCTTTTCAAAAATAAAAATAAACCTTTTTTTACTCTTAAGGTATAGTGCTTTCCTCTTCCATTGCTGCAAGGAGCATCAACCTTCTCAAGTCCGTCCTAAAGCCCACTACTTCCTTTCCCCCCTCCTCCTTAGAGGTTAGTCCTGAAAGACCAATGCTCCATACCCTTCTAGATCTCCAGCTGCTGAGCAGACTATCACCAGCCGTTTTGATTCCACTTTTGGTAAGAGGCCAGAGTCATTTTGCACATGCATCTTGTCAATCTCACCCTCTGTGCTCCCCCCACCTCCTGGCCCGCAATAGACTCTGGATGTTTCACTAAAGCATGGCTGAAAATAGCTCTCCTCCTGTCTCTTTCCAGAGCTTTGTCTCACACTTTTCCAGCTGGGGAGGATTTGATTTAAGCTTTGCAATAAAACTTGGTATTTCCAAAGCTCCTGAAGGCAGTCCTTTGTGATTTTCAACATGCACACAAAACCATTCAGACGTTTATGCCACCTTAGCCAAAGCAACCTTCATTTCTTTCATGCAAAGCAATGGATACCATCCAATGAAACGTTCTCCTGTGCAAGCCTGTTAAATGAAAGGGAGCTGCCAATTATTTCAGTCGGGCCTGTGCACAAGGATTTCCCATTTGGATTATGCTTAAAGGGTCAAAAACTACTGATAGCACAATCCAGGCCTATCATTATGTAGTAATAGGCTGAAATGCCTGAATCAATATCAGAATTATAAAATTTCAGAGAAGCAGCCCCAAATTTATCTTTAACAAATTCCTTCATGATGACTGGACGACATGACAAAAATCTTGAAAATGGAGAAATGGAAAGTCAATACCACCCCCCCTGCAACTAGCAAAGCAAACCTATAAACACATTATAACTAGAGATATGCCTCTTCTGTGCTGGTGGAGCAGCTACAGTACCATATTTGAGTATGGATGAGGAAATTACCAGTACACAACCAGAAAATACAGAAATGACAGATATGCCCCTGGTGTTCTAGAAGACTCTACCAGTTCCTTCCACCGGAGAATGTGTTGATGCCCATATAGTACTCACACATGGAAGAACCTTATGTGTTGCTTCTGCTGCTGCTGTTGTTATTGTTAACGTGGTACTTTATGCCTCACCAGAAGGAAAATGTTTCAACTCACCTCTTCCATGCCTGGCAAAAAAACAAAACAAAACCAAAAGTCATGTCAGAGGCAAAAGAGAGGGAACTGTTTTGGGTGGAATTCACCTAACAAGCCCCATCAGCAGAAGCCCTGTGCAATGACTTCTGTTTGAGCAGTGGGGTTCCCCTCTCTTCTCCCTTGTGCACCCCCACAATTCCCATAATTGGCACGGGGCGGTGTTCAGAAGAACTCTCAGAACAACACATGGGAGGAAGAGCAAAGGGAGGATTGTCATAGTACTACATTGGATACTACCCTCAGTACCTGAAACCACACTGCACACACTACAAAGCAGTTTCCTAACCACCTAGCTATAGCAACAGACAGCAATTATAAACATAATGGAGAATTTGTCTTCTCCCCTTCTCTGCACAAACAAGGCAGGAAGAGTCATATGTTTTACATGCTGGAGGTGCCAAATTCAAATGCAGGGTATAGCCGCATACTAGGAAAGGGCTGAGCTTCTCCAATCAAAGGAGCACTGCATGGCTCAATAGTCTACCGCCTGCATATACTTGTTCATGCATTGAAGAGAACTTAAAACATTATTACAATGTTTTACAAGTGATTTGCATGTGCGAATGAGCTACTGTATTAGGAATTAAACATTACAGAGATAACATCTGTATCATATTCCTCCCCTCCCTCCCTCTTTCCCACAGCCAGAATTTATATTGTAAGGTTCTCCAGCCATACACCCATATTTTTTGTTTACTTTAGTCCGTTATTCACAATTGAGCTCAATGCACTATAATTTTTTAAAAAAATAAATTCCTGTGAGTCAAGACTTCTGGTAGAGTCAAAATAAATGAATACATTCAGCTGCAAATTCATCATGGGCATTACACAATCAGGGGATGAGAAATCAAGTGTTACTCATCTGTGTATTAATGAGGAATTTAAACAGATTTATAGCACGCTAGGTGAGGAAGAAGCCTTATGCCCAGTAGAATTGGTAGCCCCATGCACAAATTCACTTGATGGGATAACCTTTGGGGCAGCTGTACCATTTCAGAGTCAGATGTGGATTCAGATTATGAAACACTTCTGAATAAGATTCCTGTATGTATGCAATAGGCAGCCCCAACAATTACAACCTGTTAAATGCACCTTTGGCACTGGCCAGCTACAAAACTTGTCATTTTTCTTCTCTAATGTGGTCCTGAAAGTGAAACATGCCAGATCTCTCTGCTGGACAGGCAGCGCAGCATCAAAATAGCACAGATCAGCAGGAAAACTTGGCCACTGCTGCCGTGGCAGAATTCTTAACCTAGCTTTAACCATTCACGATCATCTCTCCAGCATCAATCTTTGTTGTCAACAAATTTAACTTTGAAGGCTTTGATAGTCCACAGACTCACTCTTTGCCAAGTGTGTCTGAAGATGTCGGGATGCTTAACTCTTCCCAGGGAGGCTCACTTGGCACCTTCATTATGTATCTCTCAGTGCCAAGTGAAAACATTCTTCTTCTCCCAGGCCACTGGCTAATTAAACATCTATGGCCTTTTAAACTATTTGTGTGATGGGGTATGGTTATGATGCTATGTATATATGTGGTTTTATATACTGTAAACTGATGAAGGGTGGCATATGAATTTAATAACTAAATAATGAAATAAAAAGGAATGAAGGTTCAAAGTTGGCTTCCTCTGCTACATACTAAGTACAGGGGCTTTTGCAGGATGGATAGAAGGTAGCTGTACTCTGGTTTTTTCGGTGCATGCTGAAAACATCACTGCTCAGCCAAGACTTCCCAGATGCTCAGAAAGTTGAGGTAATTTTAATTAAAAAAATAATAATGTATGTTTTAAAGTATGGTTGTGAATTTTTCTTGATTTTGTTATTTCATCTTTTTGTAAACAACTCGGAGGTTGTTGTCCCGTCCCCCCATCAAGCGACGAAATTAATAAGCATAAATAAATAAATATACTCCTCAACTACAGTCTTAAGTACTACCACGTCAGGGAGAACTAGCCTCCCGTTTGCTACAGTGGACACCACCATCCTACGACGATATCACAACCGGGGCCCAGTCGGGCGCCACAGCGCCCTGAGGACTTGGGTGATTTAAGCGAACGCGGCCCCTGAGGCAGCAGGAAAAGCCGCCATCTTGACCGGAAACGCGTCACGGAAGACGGTGATGGCCCATTTCCTCTTCCCTGGCTCGCTCGCTTCTCTCTCTCCGCGCGCCTCTATGGTCGCCGAGCGACATCCGGGTCCCTGTTGTAGCGGAGTGCAGCAAGGGCCGCGAGCGAAGTGAGGACGTGGCAAGCTGTGAGCGAGAGCGGAGCGGACGTGGAGGGGCCTTTCCGGTGAGCGGCGGCGGCGGGCACAGGAAGCGGAAGCCGGCGCCAGCGGCGGCCCGACGACCAGCAGGAGCGGGGACAGCCGGTTGAGGTAACCGCGAGGCCGGGCCGATCTCTCTTGAAGCGCGAGGTTGTGAGGGACCGGGGTCGGGAGGGGGGGGGAGAGGCGGCTCCGCGACGAGGCCGGGGCTGAGGAATAAAGCGCCGCCCGACTCCGGAGCGCGCCTGGCCTGATCCTGGCAGGCTTACGCCTCCGGCCTCCCGGGGAGGCCCTGTGCTGAGCCGTCCGGATGGATCCCCGGCTTAGCTTCTCCCTTAGCGAGTTCTCATTGCCAGGCCTTTGGCTGATTAAATGCCATTTTAAACGTGTTTGTGAGAGGATATTGTCTGTTCTTTTTATTATGTATTTTGTGTGATCTCATTTTTTGCACTTTTATGTATTGAACCGCTCAGTGCTCTTCGCTCGAAGGGCGATATACACATTTAACGAATGAAATTGAAATAAAGGAATCTTTCCAACCCAACCCTCCCCCAGGCAGGAAATAAGCGGCGCTTTTCCTTCCTCCCCGCTTTGCTTCACACAGCCACCACGCAAAGTGTGTTCCGCTTGACGTGTGCTGCATTCACAAGTGCAGGTTGATAGGTGCGGGTGAGTGCGACCCCGAGGCTTGTCGGTAACAGGTTTAATACAGGAGTTGGGGGAAATTATTCGGACAACTTCCAAATAGAGAGCAGGGAGGAAATGTTTTCCCTGGCCTGCTGGTGTTTTCTGTATGTGGGAGATTTAGCTCATAGGGAGTAACCCCACACTCTGATCTGCAGCCAAAAAGGGAAACAACCCGAGAAAAGCTTTACCAGTCGATCCTGCCGAACGTGTGAACAGGGCTTGACAAGGTGAAACTGAGATGAAGCAATATTGTGCTTATGTAGGAGTCAGGCTGCATTTCAACAAAAGCGTTACTAGGAGCCTTTTTTTTTCCTTTTCAGAAGTAGTAGCAGTGCTTACTATTAGAGACTTCTTTTGAAACGTTTGGTATTAGAAGCAGAGTTGGAAGATACCCTTAGGATCTTATAGCCCAACAATGCAGGAAAACGCAGCTGTCTCTTATGGGGATTGAACCTGCAACTAATGGAATAACTTTGTTTTGAAACTTAGGTTCACCTTGAAGATTTCAAAGCACACCATGGTGCTTTCCTTTTCCCAAGCGGTGCACATTAACTTGCATTCGTGCTAAATTGTACTTTGGACTGCAGCATTAGTTATGCATAGAACTCAGAAGAGTAGCTTCTTCATTTGCGGATTATATATGGGGCCAGGCTTTAAATTCCCTAATTTTGTCCTATCCCGCTACCTCATGCAACAGGACATTTACATATTGCTCATTTTCTAAGTTTTGTTAGAAAAGGGTTTCGCTCTTGCCAGAAGAATGGATCAGTTTTATGGACAAGTGGTCCACTTATTAGTCTGTGCAAGGCTAGATGTGTATATAACAGGGTGATTATGCTAATACAGAGACATTTGGAATTTTGGGAGTGTGTTGTGGGCACCAACCCTTCTTGTTACTTCTCTTCCCCAATAGAGAAAGCACACAGGCATAAAGAGAGTCATTGTACTTCCAAGGGATCTGGGTAAAGGTTGAATATCTAGCAGGATTAAAATGTTTCCTTTTCAGTCTACACAATTTTACATAGTATCCCTAAATAGCCACTGCCAAATTAAAGCTTACCTTGGTGATAGACTGCGCAGTAAAAATCACAGAGCACATCTATGGATACAGAGTTGACCTGTGATTGGAGGGGATCCCTTGTAAAAATTATGATGATCCATAAGTTTCTATACCTTGAGTCTATATTTTTTTCACAAGGGTAGTGCTAGAAAGCATCAGTTCTGTGGTTTTTGGTTTTGCAGTTCATTCAGTAGATAGGTGTGACATTTATTTGATTGCCAATGGGGAAGGAGCCTGTGAGAAAATAGAGTTTAAAGAGGATCTGTTGTATTGGATATGGTGTGCATATTTGAGTTTGCGTTCCTGACTTCTGTCCCACCAGCTGCTCCATTATTCTCTCCTACTTCTCTTCCGTTTACCTCCTACTCTGTCTCTTCTGTTCAAGTGCCAATACGGCAATAAGAGCCTTGAAAAGCACATAGAACTGAAATAAGTGATGTCCTTTTCAAGGGGTGAGGAAGGGAGCAGTGAGTGAGGGTGTTGCAAGCACCCCAGCTGTGGTACTAATGTAACAGTATGATATGCAATGTTGGACTAGTGTAGCAATTCTAGGTGATGTTATTGCATCCTTTTAAAGCACAGGTGGGCTGAAGGCAGATTGAGATCTGCTGATAGATTTGCGCACGTGCCATCCTACTGCACTGTGGTGATCACAAAACAAGAGCATTAATTCAGAGTGAGGTGTGCCAAAGTCCAAAGCTTAAAGGTCTTAAAGGCGTTTGAGTGTATACCTCACAATACTGGGCTGCATACCAGCTGTGCAGCATACTAGCATGCTTAGACACTGTCGTAGAACCCATTGTGCTGGCACTTAGATATTTGCAGATGGCAAAAATAAAAAAGATGGAGAAAGGGAAATGAGCAGGAAGCTTGCAGAACAAAAAAAGGGACATGGCAAATGCCATTCCCCTGCTGTAGCTTCACTTGCTAACCGGGATGCAAAAATTAAAACATGCATTATGGAATAAGCATTGTCCTCTCAGTATGATTCCTTGTAACGTTTCTAAAAAATGAATTCACTTTTATGCTTGTGCATTTTTGGTCAGGACTGTCATTATACCAAGCCATAGTCTCCACACTATAGTTTAGGACCAAACCATGGTTTGAATTTCTAAACACATGCTAGGGAAACTGTAGCTTAGAGCCACTTGTTGAGAAGGTAGAAAGCAAAACTAGACAATCAGCTTCATAGTGATGGCCATAACATTAGATTCGCAAATCATGGGGTTTGTACTGTTTCTTGCTTTATAGGTGAAGCATGAATTTAGTTTGGCCATCATAGCAAACTGTAGTCTTGGAAGTGTTCTATGCTTTTAAAATTTGTTACGTCTATTTGTTAATACTACAATAGCACAATGACATATTTTATGCTGTTGCAAATAGGGCTGTGTTTTGCTGTTAATGGTTGTAGCCTTGCTTTAAACTAAAATTTCAGTGTGTTATGAAGGCAATGTATTTTATTTCTTCTGGATTATGTGTGTGCTGATTCAGAAGATCACACCTGCAAAACATCCCTTGCACTGATACAATCTGACATACTGCTGGAAATGCTTGATTATCCTGCTATAAATGAACCTTTTTGCTATAGTAGATAGTGTTCT